ATTAATATCAACCATTTTCTCGACACGAATTACCACTCCATATATAACACAAGCAAGAAGTATCTGGCTCCGCAGAGTTCATGAACTGTTTGAGTCATGAACTGACTTGACACAGGCCGTGAACTCCTAAGTTCATGCACTAGAACCCTGTTGGTTTATGTTATCTGATGTTCAGCTGTGAACTTCTGTTTTGCAACTTAATTTTATGCCCGATAGGATGACGGGTTAGATGGAAGTTATCTGTAGAGATGAGGACAGAGTTTCAGTTGGCTGCTTATCTTCAAAAATGCAGGTTTGCATCAATGGGAAAAAAAAAAAAATCACTTTTCTCAATTGTACCAACTAGTCCTTGTTGTTTAAAAAACGACTCAGGTAGTTCAACATTGATTTTTCATATTTATCTTTAGTGTAAGTTATGTTTCACTGTACCATTTGCTTGAGTTGAATTGGAAAAGAAAATGCTTATAAAAAATTACTATACTGTAACAATTTGACAGTCTGCAGTGGGATGGAGATCTCCATCACTGTATGGATAATTGTAATTTGGTATACTCTGTATAGACTAAGTATGTCCACGTGGGGTAATCCTAGCAGTCCACCTGTTCTGTGGATGCCTTTCTATCATGGGTCCCCATGTAAGCTAGATTATCTTGCCAGTAAATGTCCAAATACCACTTCTTATATCCCAAGGGGCTCTACCAGCTGCACAAACCACAGTGGCAGTCTCCCTGTGGGTGCTGAACCTCCTTGTCAGCAACTGCCTTCTAAGGACATTTGTGCCAGGTTTAAACAGTGCTTTAAAGTCTGGAGAGATGTCCATCCACCATCATTTTATCAAAGGGCTCTATCTGGATACCAAGATACCACTCCTTTTATGCCCCACCTTCTCTTCACTCGAGGAATCAGCTGCAAGAAAGGGAAAAGCCTGTCGAAGGTGCAAGGATCTGGGGCAGATATTTTGTGCTTGATGGGAGAGGAAGCTGTACACAGGAGTAAAAGTTTCACACAGGTTTGTGAGAGAATTTTCCACTCAGATCTTCTTTGGGCAAGCTTCGTGTTTTCCCCTGTGCTGGTGTTGCTGTAGGATGGTTTGGATGGTCCTGCCCTACTTCATGAGTGTGCTGCAGTGAGAAGTGATCAGAAGACCAAAGCTCTTAGCTCATGCTGATAAAAACTATGAAAAGAAATTAGGTAGGAGACAAGTTCAATCCAATCACATGGATGAACAAAACCTAGGCATGGGACCAATTGAAGGTGGCCCAGCACCACCTCTGCAACCTGGGAAGTGTTCTTACAAGTAAGTGAAGCTGCAAACCTGGGTTTACCTGGCATTACCAACAAACACTGTCCAGGCTGTATCTGAGACTGCTGTGGCATGTTCACATGCTGTGACAGCTCACACAACAGCATACACAGCCCTACATCCTGAGACCATCCCTGGGAAAGGGGCTGACACAGGGCATATAGGGTGCCCAGATACCACTGTCTGACCTGGGCAGGGATGGGGCGGATGGGTCCCATCTCCTTTCCACATCAGAGCTGCAGTTGTGCTGCACTGAGTGCTGCTGTAAGAGCACAGGGAGAGATCATGGGGGGCTTGGCTTCTTATGGATTAAACCAGCTGTGTGGTCACTAGAGAAAAATGCCCAGCCTTGGGAGGAGTAGCTCTAACAAAAAGCCAAGCCTTTCTGGGCAAAGAACAAGGGACAGGCAGGAGTCATTCCCAGCTGCCTGCGTGATTTGTGCTCACGTGTCCATAGCTGTTCATGGGTGCTGCCTGCCTGCACGTGAGGCTAACTGAGCCACAGGCTAAAGTTGGGCTCTTGCCTTCCCCGGACATTTCCCCTGTGGCTCGGTAACAATAACTGCAGACTCACCCACCAGCTTGCAGTCCCCTACCTCCCAGCCTGCTGTGCTTGGAGGCAAGAAGGGTGAACAGGAGAGACTGCTGCTGTGGTTCAGGTAAGGAATATGAGATGCGACGGGGTCTGCATGGCTGGGCTGCTGATGGTAGGAAGGATCATCAGTCAGTGGTCCCTAGTATGGGACAAAGAAGAGCAGGCTGAGGCACTGAGCTGTAGTCACAGCCTGGGAGAGCCAAGTTTATGGCAGAAGACACACCTTTCTCATGGTTGTGCAAACCAGCTTTTGAAGCACAAACCCCAGTTCAACCCTTTGTAATCATTAATCTTCCAATGTGAATCCCATTGCGTGCAAACTGCAAAACCAATGAAACATGCGGCAAGTCAAAAAGGGCAAAGGTATCGTGAAAAAGCATTGCCAAGTGGTGCATTTGCGTAGGTGGATCGTAGCTACAAAAGCTCTCTCTCACTTGGGCTCCGGTCTGTTCAACTCCAAACATGCTGGTGGCTGTGCTGCTCCCCTTCTTGTGCTGCCTGGGTAGCGCTGCTGCTGGGAAGGTGCTGGTGATCCCGATGGAGGGCAGTCACTGGCTCAGCATGAAGGAAGTGCTGATTGAGCTGAGCAAGAGAGGGCATGAAGTAATTGTCAGTGTCACCAGAGATGAAAACGATTGTAGATTCCTCAGAGTGGTACACGCTGAAAACATACCCTGTACCTTTAAAAGAGGAAGAGATGGAAGATCTTCTGCATTCACTTACTGCAAACAGTTTTAGTGACCAGCCTTTTATTTACAGATTTTTGAATATTTGGGATATTTTTAAAAAGAGTTCTGCCGTCTTTGAAGTTGCTTGCAGTTCCCTACTGCACAACAAAGAGATGATGAAATTCATTGAAGAAAGCAAATTTGATGTAATGTTTACAGACCCTGTGACACCCTGTGGACAAATAATTGCTTTGCATTTTTCTATCCCTTCTGCTTTCTTCTTGCGGGCTATCCCATGTGCTATAGACACTCACGCCGCTCAGAGTCCGGACCCACCGTCCTACGTCCCACGAATGTTCTCCCTCAATACAGACCATATGACATTTCCTCAGAGAGTCAAGAACGTACTGATTGCCATTTCAGAGGCTTTCACCTGCAGAATCATCTTTTCACCATTCGAAAGACTGGCCTCGGACTTTCTCCAAAAGCCCATCACGGTTACAGAGCTTTTAAGCCACGGGTCCATTTGGCTGAAGAGACTGGACTTTGTCTTTGACTACCCCACACCCGTGATGCCCAATATGATTTTCATTGGAGGCATCAACTGTGCACGGAAGAAGCCGTTATCTCAGGTCAGTGACTGGCTGGGAAAAGTATAACAAGGGAGAAGTTCCAGCAGTGTTTGATGTAGAGTTTACTTACCTAAAGATTAGCTGTTTGTTTTGTTAACAAGTTGTGGTTCCACCTCCTTTTTTTGGGCCTGCCCAACACAGGGATTTTTTTCGGTGAGGGATCACACGCTCTGCAGCGTTTAATTCCAGCTGGTCAGGTGCACAAACACCGCTTGGTCCAGGAATGAATGCAAAAAGGGCAGGAGAATTATAGCAGCTCTTCCAAACATTCCCTGCCCCACGTGGCAGTGGCCTATTTCTTCTAGAGCACTAGCTGCTTATCTGGTCAAAAAGCAACTCACCGGGTTATGTGCAGTAGCATTATTTGCTCTTCTCTGTAACAGCAGTGTTGTGTTTGAGTTGAAGGCTAATAATTTTTTTGTGGTGAAAGTTATGGTCTAACAACAGTTCCCATCACAAGAACCAGACAGCTGAATTCTCTGCTGCATTTTTATGAGACATCCAGCTTGGATAGGAAATGTTGATGGGTGGTTGCTCGGGCATCTGTGACCTAAAAAGCATGCAATAAAAGCACGTCCTTTGTGTCCATGAATTCCAGTAAATATTGTGGGATCTTTAAAGCTGATCACTTGTTGCATGTGTATGATACATGAGAGCTTGCTGGTGCTCATGCTGTACATGTAGCCCATAGCTGCATGTGATGTATCTGGGCTTCTTGCTTGCTTGTGATATAAGTAGAACAGTCTCATGTTGTGAAGCCAGAGATTAACTAGAAAAAGACAGCTAAGAGGAGACAGCTCTCCTCAGCAGCTGATGGATCTGTAGTTAGTGTCATCCAGCAGTTTCAGCAATATATCGCATCATTTCCTGGAAAGGATAAAGTTTTATCCTTTACAGATGCTCCTTAGAAATAAACAGGCACCTCTCTACTCTTCCCTTGAACTTTTCTCACTTGCCAGCCTTCTGTGCGTCATAAGGAATGCACTCCTCCTTCTCCTCTGGCATTCAGATGTCTTTGTGAATATGAATGAATGAAGCTTCAGGATAAAACAGATTTGCATTTCCCAAGCATAGCACACCTTCCCCAGAGCCAACCTTAAAGCCCTCGGGCTTTGCTTTACTCCTCCCAGTACTTCACCTGATGCTGCCCATTGAAAGTACCACTGATTTCTCTTGAGCTGCTATCATGCAGATCTTGCTTTCTCACAAAAGTGTCTTTCAAATTGTCACCCCCTCCCTGCATGGGCACTTTTGTCAGGGTAGTGCTTTTTCCTATCTGTTCTGTCCATCCAGCTCTTTAATGGCTCTCTCAGGAACAAACCCAGGGAGACCAGCTCTGCCTGCAGGCCAGGCCTTGTGGCAGTTCCAGCTTAAATTTAGGCTCTCCTCTAAAGACAGAGCTCGCTCTCACCTTATCTTGCTCAGGGGCTAAAGTTCACAGTCCAGCAAGAATAGTTACTACCAATTCTTTAGTGGTGCTGCCAGCCCTGGTTTTTATTTTTTTTTTTTTAATTTTATTTTATTTGCTGTTTTCTGGCTATGGCTGTGCATCACACAGTTGCATCTAACAGCACAGTTTAATCCTGCAGGCTGACAAGTGTCTATAACAAATGCTTGCTAACTGCTTAGAGTTTTAGTTCCTAGTCTTAGCTTTTCATCTGCAGTGAGAACACCACCACTTACCATTCACAGCCAGTTCTTGTCCTGAAACAAGAGGACTGTTATTTTCTACTCCTGTCCAGACTTTCCTGTATCTAATTGAGTACAAGGGGAACTGAGTGGCTTTTCTCATAACTCCTGGAAGAAGAAAGTGTTTCAGAAAGGCACAGGATGAGAATGAAGAAGTGTCATGCATGGCAGCACAGATTTAGTGGTTTGCCTTGGCTCATGCAAGTCTCTGCTACAGCACTGGTTCTTGTAATATATTTGTACCTAGTGTTGCATCTGGACCCAGGACTTAGCTCTGTGTAAATCACAGAGCATTCTCCTTAGGATTTGCACAGATATTGTGTAGTATAGTGGCATTGTTTTGTTTTGTTTTCCTTTTTTTTTTTTTTCAATCTGACATGAAACATCACAGAGAAACAATCAGAAAGGACCCATCCCAAGGGAATCTCAGGTACCCAGGCCAGTTCTGCCCAACAGGAGTTGATTATCACATTCCTTAAATGTTTCATCAGTACCATGAATGGTTGCTAGTGACTGGTTTTGCTGGAAAAACCAGATCATTAAGTGGGAATGTGAGAATCTGGCAGGGGGCTCTGGGTCTACTTAAGATCTGTCAGGTAAGGGCAGAGGAACAGAATTTGGATTTCTAGAAACATGGCTCTTGTAAGTAATCACAGTTACTTAGCTTCTGCAGGGGTTTGGGTTTTCCTGTCTCTGTTTTGCTTGGGCAATGGTGGAAAGCTGTTGGTGGTGCCTATGGATGGGAGTCACTGGCTCAGCATGCGCTCAGTGCTGGTGGCCCTTAGTCAGAAAGAGCACGAAATTGTTGTCGTTGCACCAGAAGTCAACTTGAACGTGAAGGCATCTGAATACTACACTCTCAAAACATATCCAGTGCCTTTAACTAGGGAAGAACTAGGAGCAAGCATGCATTTGTTTGCAAATGATCTTTTTGAGAGAAGACCTTTTCTTCAAAGAATTACTGCACTTTATGAAAAAGTTCACATCATCTCCGATCTCTACTTCTCCTCCTGTGCCAACTTACTGCACAATGAGGATCTGATGCAGGATCTTGAAGGGAGTAAATTTGATGCTGTTCTCACAGATCCTGTTGTACCATGTGGACAAATACTGGCTTTGCATCTCTCGATTCCATCAGTTTTCTTTTTACGAGGACTCCCCTGCAGTTTTGATTTGCAGGCTGCTCAGTGTCCAGACCCCCCTTCTTATGTCCCAAGAACATTTACAGACAACTCAGACCACATGACATTTATCCAGCGCGTGGAAAACTTAGTTCTCAAGGCGTCAGAATCCTTTCTTTGTAATTTTGCCTATTTGCCATTTGAACTGCTGGCCTCGGATTTTCTCCAAAGACAAGTAACAATGACGGATCTTTTAAGCCATGGATCCATTTGGCTTAAGAGAATGGATTTTGTTTTTGAATATCCCATGCCACTGATGCCCAACATAGTTTTTATTGGAGGTATAAATTGTGGAAAGAAAAAGACGTTACCTCAGGTCAGTGATTTCCCTGATAAAATATTTTAAGCTTTGAATGGAAAATGCTGTTTGCAATAATCACCTTACTATATGCTGTGTCTGTATGTACTTGTATACATGAGTATGTGGTATTTAGATTTGCAGTAAGGTGTATTGTAAAGAAAATATGTGAAAAACTGTGTTAATTTTAATTCTCTCCCACTATTGCAGGTACTCTAGTGGTATCTAAGCAGTTTTGCTTATATAATTGTTTGGGTTTTTTTTTGAACTAGGTGGAAAAAGTTGTGGTTTATCACTGCTGTCTTGCTAACGAGACACACATCTAGGCAGGTCTGCTGCTCATCTTTGCTAGTTATTATTACCTCAAACTGTTTTACTGATTCTTTTCAAAACTTTTTTTTTTTTTTTTTTTCCAGTTAATACAACCATCCTTTCAGAATTTAGAAATAAAGTGTCATTAAGTGTCAATTGGCAGGTAACATTCTGATTGTTCTTTCAGTCTGGGGTTATGCTTGAAAAGCATGGATGCCTTGTGCAATTTTCTGCAAATCTGTTGGAGGGTTTTACAGCTGCTAGCCAGCACCAGGCCATGTACAACAGCTTGCATTGCCTACTGAAAGGCTTCCCTAAAAAGAGTTTATCTAGAGCTGATCTAGATTGCTAAATATCCATTAAAAAAAAATAAATCTGGTATACTCTGTCAATCTCAGTAGTAAATCATAGTATTGTCTACAATATTTCTGTTTGATCATTTTTATAACCAGGGCTGATTGTCTATGCATGAAGGAAACAACTTTCCTTTCACAGCCCTGGGGTATGCTCTTCCCGGGCAGAACCAGAATTCATGAATTGCTAATCCAGCTTTAAGTATATCTGGCAAAAAACGTGGCCTAATCTTTACCCCTTCCAGCCCTACTTCATCCTTCCAAAGACAGACTTTTCAGAAAAATAGCCAACATGGGTTCACAAGGGGTAGGTCCTGTTTAACAAATTCCATTTCCTTTTATGATAAGATCACCCATCTAGTCGATCAAGGGAAGCCAGTTGATGCAATCTTTTTGGATTTCAGTAAAGCTTTTGATACAGTTTCCTGTAGGATCCTACTGGACAATATGTCCAGCATACAGCTAGATAAAATCATCATACGATGGGTGAACAATTGGCTGATGGGTAGGGCTCAAAGGGTTGTGGTAAATGGGATTACATCAGGCTGTCAGCCAGTCCCCCATGGCTCCATTTTAGGGCCAGTTCTTTTCAATGTTTTCATAAGCAATTTGGATGTGGGACTATAAGGTCTTTTGATGATGTTTAAGGTTTGATGGTAAATTTGCTGATGACACCAAACTTGCAGGAGCTGTTGACTCTGTTGAGGGTGGAAAAGCCTTGCAGAGACATCTGGATAGATTGGAGCGCTGGGCAATCATCAACAGTACAAAGTTTAACAAGAGCAAGTGCTGGGTCCTGCACCTGGGACGGGGCAACCCTGGCTATACTTACAGACTGGGGGACGAGACACTGGAGAGCAGCCCCACAGAGAGGAATCTGGGGGTTGTGGTTGACAGCAAGGTGAATATGAGCCAGCAGTGTGCCCTGGCAGCCAGGAGGGCCAACCGCGTCCTGGGGTGCACCAAGCATGGCATTGCTAGTCGGTCGAGGGAAGGGATTGTCCCGCTCGGCTCTGCGTTGGTGTGGCCTCACCTCGAGTACTGTGTGCAGTACAAAAAGGGTGTGAAACTGTTGGAGAGTGTCCAGAGGGCTACAAAGATGGTGAAGGGCCTAGAGGGTTAGACGTATGAAGAGTGGCTGAGGTCACTTGGTCTGTTCTGCCTGGAGAAGAGGAGGCTGAGGGGAGACCTCAGTGCGGCCTACAGCTTCCTCACGAGGGGAAGCAGTGGGGCAGGCGCCCATCTATTCTCTTTAGTGACCAGTGATAGGACCCGAGGGAATGGTGTCAAGATGCAACAGAACATGAATAGAACATGATTTGGATTGACAGGAACAGAGGAATTTTCTTATACAGAAAATTCCATTTTAGAAAAATTGCTGATATGTTTATCATCGTTTTTTAGCAGATCTCTTGTTGAATGATCCCTTATTTCCTTAAATCCCAATGTTCATCCAAAACAAATGGGTGTGCGTCATCCTAGATAGCTGCAGCCCTGATAACTGCCTGAGAGGTTCGATGAACTTTAACACCTCTAATTTGTGTTTGCTGAACCAGTGATTATACATTTACCAAACAGTAAATAAGTCTAAAGATCATCAGGGAAAAGCACAGCACACTTGCCTTAGAAGCGTGGAGGTGGTGGTACCCCGTGTGCAGCACGCACCGGGTTTCTGCAGGGATGGCCCCGGGGCCTGCTTCTCATCCACAAGTCGCAGTGACGCTGGTTCTGCTCCTGTCCATGCTCGGTCTGGCTGCTGGTGGGAAAGTGCTGGTGGTGCCCGTAGATGGGAGTCACTGGCTCAGCATGCGGGAAGTGTTGGACAGCCTGAAGGAGAAAGGGCATGAAGTAGTCGTCGTCGCACCAGAAGTCAGCTTATACATAAAGCCATCAAAGAGTTTTGTCATGAAAACGTACCCAATCCCTTTCACGCAGGAAGAGCTGGATAGAGATTTCCACGAATTTACACAGGATACATTGAAAGAAGGTTCCTTCCTGGAGAGATTTGTTAGAATTTATCAACGGTTTGAAAAAAACTCTGCCTTGTTACTGTCTACCTGTGAACACTTACTGTACAACAAGGAACTTATGAGATATCTTGAGGAGTCTAAGTTTGATGCTGTCTTTACGGACCCTGTAATACCTTGTGGGCCAATAGTGGCTGAGCACCTTTCAGTCCCTTCTGTCTATTTTCTGCGAGGAATTCCATGTGGCTTAGATTTTGAAGCCACTCAGTGTCCCAATCCCCCTTCTTATGTCCCCAGGATATTTACAGAACACACAGACCATATGAGCTTCCTCCAGCGTGTGAAGAATCTAGTCTTTGACGTCCCCAATCTTTTTCTCTGCAATTTTTTTTTTCAACCATTCTCCAAACTGGCTTCTGAGTTCCTTCAGCGAGATATGACTGTGTTAGATCTCTTACGCAAGGCTTCCGTATGGCTTCTGAGATTAGACTTTGTGTTAGATTATCCAAGACCGTTGATGCCCAACATAGTTTTAATTGGCGGAGTGAATTGTGCTCACAAGGAGCTACCTCAGGTAGGTCGTGCTCTATTCTTAATTCTTATTCTGATTGGCTTCTGTGTTCATAAGAGTGTAGTTTTGTATAGCAGAGAGATATTAAGTTCCCGTTCAGGGAGAGTTAGGCAAAGCCTGGTGAAAGAAATGCTATTTCTGTCATTTCTTCCTTGCTTTCTTTCTTTGTGTGTGTGTGTGTGTTTGTATGTAGTCAGCTACATCTTTTGGTGTCCCAGGTACGCTCTGGGACTGAACTCTAGTGCAGGTTATCTGGCCTTTTATCAAAACGATTATACATTTACCACACAGGAAACACCTCCAAGGATCAAAAGTTAAGGTGTGACACAGGTTGCTTAAAAGCGCGGAGCTGGTGCTGTTGCTTCAGTGCTGCCTGCAGACTTCTTTCTGGGCAGCACGCACCGGGTTCCTGCAGGGATGGCCCCGGTGCCTGCTTCTCATCCACAAGTCGCAGTGACGCTGGTTCTGCTCCTGTCCGTGCTCGGTCTGGCTGCTGGTGGGAAAGTGCTGGCATTGCCTGTAGGTGGGAGTCACTGGCTCAGCATGCGGGAAGCGTTGGAGGGTCTCAAGGCGAAAGGGCATGAAGTAGTCGTCGCTGCACCTGAAATCAATTTACACATAAAACCAACAGACAATTTTACTATGAAAATGTACCCAGTCCCTTTCACACAGGAAGAGATGGATAAGGACTTCCACGCATTTTTAAAGGGTGGGTTTGAAGAAGGATCCTTTCTGGAAAGATTTGTTAGAACATACCAAAGGATGAAAAGACTCTCTGACTTTGCATTCATCAGCTGTGAACACTTACTGTACAACAAAGAACTTATGAGATATCTTGAGGAGTCTAAGTTTGATGTTGTCTTTACGGACCCTGTAATACCTTGTGGGCCGATAGTGGCTGAGCACCTTTCAGTCCCTTCTGTCTATTTTCTGCGAGGAATTCCATGTGGCATAGATTTTGAAGCCACTCAGTGTCCCAATCCCCCTTCTTATGTCCCCAGAGTGTTTACAGAACACACAGACCATATGAGCTTCCTCCAGCGTGTGAAGAATCTAGTCTTTGATGTCCAAAATTTTTTCCTCTGTGATTTTATGTATAAGCCGTACTCCAAACTGGCTTCTGAGTTCCTTCAGCGAGACGTGGATGTGTTAGATCTCTTACGCAAGGCCTCCGTATGGCTTCTGAGATTAGACTTTGTGTTAGATTATCCAAGACCGTTGATGCCCAACATAATTTTAATTGGCGGAGTGAATTGTGCTCACAAGGAGCTACCTCAGGTAGGTCGTGCTCCATTCTTGCTTCTTATTCTGACTGACGTCTGTGTTTGCAAGAGCGTAGTTTTGTGTAGCAGATAGATATGATAGATCTTAAGTTCCCATTCAGGGAGAGTTAGGCAAAACCTGGTGAAAAAATGCTATTTCTGTCATTTCTTCCTTGCTTTCTGATTTATTTATTTATTTATTTTATTTTTATTTTTTTTGTGTGTGTGTGTGTAGTCAGCTACATCTTTTGGTGTCCCGTGTCCCAGGTATGCTCAACTGAGCGGCAGTAGGTGAAGTAAGTGATTTCCAAGGGATTTTCTTTTCCTGCACAAGAAATTACTCTTCTAGTTGGCTGAGGAGAGGCAACTTTGCTTTTGTGTATGCCAATCAAGTGCTGCTCCTTAGTGAAAGCTTCAGCTGGGGCTAGAAAGAAAATGTATCTCAGGTACCATCACCTGTAAAACAATTGCTGGATTTATTACAGATGCCTTTTTCATCATGTATCTTCAGTTCGGTTTTGCAGGGTGTTGAGTAACTTGGTTCTCTCTTGTTCTCATAGTGAGTGATGGAAGAGCAAAGGCAAGTCTGCGGGTCTGTCAAAGCCTCGCAGTCAGGTATACTCCATACAGCTTGGCACCTGCTTGGAGCAGGGTCTGGTATTTACTGAGAAATGCATATCAGGCTTCTCCCTGGGGTACCCCTGCTTCCTTTCCACTTCCTCTGTCTTCTAGCACAGGTCTGTGATGGGGTATTGTATGTACCACCCAAAGGTATTGTCAGTGTTTGAGGAAAGTCAAGATACTTCAGTCAGAGCGAGTCTATCAGAAGCACAGTCCTGCCCAGAACCACGCCTGCTGCCTTCCGTGATCAGACTATGCTGTTCCTCCAGTAGTAAATGTTTCAGCTTATCTGCTGCATCCACCACATTTGCACCCGCCCGCGTACATTTCTGAACTCTAGTGTGGGTTATCTGGCCTTTTATGAAATCAAGGATTATACATTTACCTAGCAGTAAATGTTTTTACGGATCAAAAGTTACGGTGTAGCACAGATTGCTTAAAAGCGCGGAGCTGGTGCTGTTGCTTCAGTTCTGCCTGCAGACTTCTTTCTGGGCAGCACGCACCGGGTTTCTGCAGGGATGGCCCCGGGGCCTGCTTCTCATCCACAAGTCGCAGTGACGCTGGTTCTGCTCCTGTCCGTGCTCGGTCTGG